AATATAAAGAATATTATAAACGGAAGTTAAAGCAGCTGTGCAGATTATTTTATATTGATAACCGACATTCGAATTGAAAACAAATTTTACATTTTAAGAATAAATCTTAAGTCGCTTTAGAATTTCTTATAAAGTCACGTTTTTACAAAAACTTTAGATAAAATGTGTATGTTGATAAACAAGCTAAATTAATTTTTTAATAATAAATAGTAACGGAAACATTTAATTTAGTTGTTAAAAATTACGTTCGAAAAATTAGTATAGAAAAGTTTTTATATACTAATTATATTTTTAAATTAATGCATATTAACAAAATTATTATTTACTTAATTCATTAGCTCCTCTCTGATATGGATCTAGTGCATCCAATTGTCCATCAGTGAATGTTTGAAGCTTTTCATATCCATAAGATAGTAGATTTCTTTTACACTGGTTTACAGGTTCAATGGATGAGACAGCAGTGGCTTTGCAATGCACACTCACCAATTGTGCAAATGTTGAGTACAAATAGGACATCTAAAAAATATACGTATATGTATACATTATTAAATAAGTATTAAATAGTATTAAAAAAGTTTATTTGAAATTATAATTTATTTATGTTATGTTTTATATGAGTGCATAAACTTTAAAGTCAAGTTTTGAAATCAAGTGTTTCTACTGAAAATAAAACTAAACTTGTTTCTCAAACATGAAAGGCTTGTTGAGTTAAATAAACGTCTTCTCAGAATATCTTTTTTATCAATTCGGCTAAGGTTATAAATCTACATAAAAATCAGTTATAATACATTTTTGCATATAATCTACTGTCAATGATGTCACTATCATCTTATTTTAGTTGCCAAAATATAAACTTATTCGTTTCATCTTTGGTTAATTTAGTTTTTAAGAGATGTAAATGCAATATGTTAAGATTAAGTTTATATGCGAAAATTCTAATCTCATAAAAATGTAAAAATTTTAATTTTTATAGAATAAATTTGGCTTACAATTTAATGTTTAAATTAATGTAATTAAAAAAATTTGAAGGCGCAGCGGATGATATAACCTTGATAGCTATATTTAAAACAAATGCATAATATATTTGTTATTTGGTAGCTATATAGGTGACTACATTGTCCAGACAAAGAGTGAAGTCTTTAAGAGATTCTTACTTTGGCCCATTGGCAACGGCTTAGTAATTAATTGACTATTTACTTTATAAGTTCTGCTATTGCAAGTAGATAGTTTATTTAAGATGACTTTGCAGCTGAGTTAAATACCTCCATGGAATAACAATACATAGGCATGGACTTATTGTTATCTATCGTTATCAGGTACATTAAAATTTTTGTGTATATATTGTACTATGGTAACTTTTTGCAAATCTAAGGAATATTTTAAGCAACATTTCTAAACAACATCAACAAGTATTTTTTAAAGAGTGGTGATTTAAATATCCAAATGGAATTGTAACAAATAGGTATGTGACTCCCAATACCTTCTATATTGTGAACTGTCATAATAGCAATAAATTCGATGAGATTAATCTGTCTGACATGGACTTATTGTTCTCTAGCGATATCAGGTAAAATCAAATTTTTGTGTAGATACTGTAGTAAGAACTTTTGCGAATTTAAAAAATACTTGAAACCCCATTCCTAAATTTTCTAATGACATTACAGCACATAGGTATGAGATGCATGTACCTGTGACTCCTAATACCTTCTACATTCTTAACTGTCATAACAGTAATAGGTATGATTAGGTTAATCTGGCTGACTATAAGTCATGCATAGACCTATTGGTCTCTAGCGGTACTAGATATCTATGTAGATGTTGTAGTAAGTACTTTAGTGAATTTAAGTAGTGTTTGAAGTCTTTTTTCTATCAAAAAACCATAAAGCATTTTTTAAAGAGTGTTCTTAGACTATGTCTAAGTATTAAACCTTAGTGCTAGTACACAGTCACCGTGTACTAAACTGAATTATCTTAAATTTCTTTAGTGATTGATATTGATTTAAATTTTTTTTTCAACTACTGAATGGAATCAGAATATCGGCCCTTGAACTAAAATCATTTATTGCAAAATTTCACAAGTTACTGCATTTTTAACTAAATATTTACTTAATTTATACATTTATATATGTACATATTTAAAAAAAATTAAATAATTTTCCGTTATAAGCATAGTAATGAGTTTGTTTAAAACAAATTACAACAACTTTATATAAAATTTTAAACCAAATCACCGTTAAAAGTGTGAATGAAATGCGTTTAAAATTTAAAGTCGATTTATTTTTATTTGGTTTTTGGTGGACAAATATTAATATTTTAGTACAATACTTTGAACGTGAATGTTTTAAATAAAACAAGTTGTGTATCTGCATTACTGTCTTCTATTATTCATTAAATTAATTTAAAAACTTGTCAAGCGTACACCTTTGATATTTTATATATACGTTGGGCAAAAAGTATTCGACGTTCTACTTATATACTGCTTTTTATAACAATCGTTAACAATGGACTCAAAACTGTTTAGAAAAAATATATGATAACTACGGAAACTATAAATTATTATCTTTATAATAAAGAAATTACAACAAATTTTTCAAATAAATTAAAAAAAATTTCTAAATTTTTTTATAAATAAAAAATTAATTTTGAAGCAGTAAAGTTTTGTGACAGAAATCTAAATAAATTTGGTTTCGGATCAAAATAGAGTGATTTGAAACTTCTTAGGGGCACTATATATAAAAACTTGTGATTATTTTAAATATTGAAATAAATTAAACCATAGTTTGTTCTTTGAAATGGGATATTTGTTATAACATATATTTACTAAATTGAAAAAGAAATATTAATTTTGTTTCCATCTCATATATGTATACATACCAAATATTTTTTTTTGTAATTTTGTAATAACACTATGTAATAAAAAATCAAAATATGATCTCATACATTATCCCTGACATTATTATGATGTGAAAATTAAATAAGTTATTAACAAAATATAATAAAACTCTTCAGATATATCAAAAGTAAAAGACCGCTGAATGTCATACAAATTTATTTATTACTTATAAGAGATTATTGAGATAACTTATGATATGTAGTTTATGAAATGAATTTTATATTAAACTGTAGCTAATATTATCATACGTAATATTAAGTTCATCATTTTGTAAAAAAACAAGTATGAAAAATTTTGATTGCCACATTAAACTTTCACTTTCCTTAAACTTAGTGCAATAAAAAAAAACTTTTTTATTAATTTTTTTTATATATATATATACATATAGTTATAATATGTGTTTATATTTTTTTTTTTAATAAAAAGATGTGCTATACGTTAAGGTTATTTGTTACCTTGTATATGTAAAATATTTGTGAAATTTACTTCCTGGATTTTCAATTAAAAAGCTTTAAACTCTACTTTATAAACAAATATTCAAAGGTAAATGCTCTATGGCCTTTTTAGTTTATGACTTTACTGATTTATCCACCATTAAGAAACCTATAAAATAGTGCAGAATTTTACTTAAAGATATATGCTAAAAGCATCATGGAGTACCAGAAATGAAGACATAGGCATATAAATTGAAGCTGTTGAAAAAAACAATAGAGATACGGCTATGAAATTGGATGATTGTGGGGATGCTCATGCTAATCCATTCCATTCATTCCGTTGAATCATTGTTTGGTAGCACCATCCAGTCACACTCTATAAGTCTTTTATCATGCCTAACCTGCTTAGGATATAAAATCTTGTAGAACAACAAACATTATTAGCATTATTGGCAATAACTATTGTATTATTTAGTATGATGAAGTGTATAACTTACATCGCGACAGTGACATAGTTAAGCATATAAAAATGCAGCGGTTTTGCTCTATTGGTCATATCGTCGAATTGGGTCAAATTATTTCGGTATTAATTCGCTTGTAATAAACGAAATATGTACAAGACTTCCGTATCTTCCGTAAACTTACTCGTTAATATTAACTAGGAATAGCGAATCATTGTTGGGGTTAGCTGGATATGGCTATTGACTGCGGTCAAGGATGACTCACGTTTGTAATGGCATAGTAAGTAAGTAAGTAAACTATTATTTAAGTAATTAATTAAGTAAACTTAAAGTCGAGCCATCAGTTACTTATTTGCCTATAAAAATTCATTATTTGGTGCTACCTTTATATACATAAGCTTAAAACATAACAGTATATAAAATAAACGTTAAATTACATAATTAGAAATAAGTGTAACAAAGTTGTTTTCCATTAGAACTATTAAGAGTTATATTCAAATCTTAAATGATCCTCATTATTATACTCTTATATGTCTTCTATTATCTGCCCCAAACTAGCTAATGAAATTTTGCATATTTTGAATTTGAATCATTAATTTAAATTAAGTTAAAAAGATATTTTTGAAAAGTATTGAACCACAACAACAAAAATTTATTTTATATTATTTTAATTAATTGAATTTTTGGCTGACCATACAACTATTTCGAATATAGCCAAATTCCTATCATCAGTGGTCTTGGTCTTAGATTAAGT